CGGAACCCACTGGGTTCGTTGATGAATACGGCCATTGGAAAGATCGCCTTGTAAACCCTAAAAATGGTCTTGATTGGAGCAATGGCTACCGAACTTCGATTTTGAAGTATGAAGCAATACTAGGTAAGGGCAGGGCTTCCAATGTCTTTGTGCCCAAAGGAGTAATAATAGTGAGTCTGAGCTGGCAGGTATCACTTAGATGTGAGAATATGGCTTGGAGAAACATTAGCCTAATATAAAAGCTTCCAGCAACTGGATGATACTGAAGTGTGATCTTTGATGGCCAACCCTCACTAAAGTTTCCACCGTAATCCTACAAGCAATGAGTATAAGATGAAGCTAGCTCCACGGAATGGTACCTAAAGGAAGGCAGAAGAGTGGAAATAATGATATTGACGAACGGTGTGTACATCAATTCAGACACCCTGCATATGACAAAAAGATTCAAATCTAATCGCTGGCCTAGTACCGTACTCCACACAAGGAAGGGCTACTGTGCTGGACTAAGTTTAAAATTCGATTTATAAGCTGCCAGAGACGGTGAGTGCCCAATCAGTTTTCATATGAAAAGCCCAGGTTTGCCTGTACATTGATAATGAGTAGCTGAATCCCTCACCTGATCGCCATGCTCGAACACATCACGATAGATTTTCTTCTGTGTATCACCTTTGTTCACATAGCCTTCAAACTTCAAGAGCACATCTTTGTTCTTGATCACACCAACCATTTCACCAAGTTCACCTGGGCAGCATGGGATGCACAGTCCGTTCTGAATCAAAAATAAAATTCTTAAAAAGATATAGAGAAAAATTCTCACTCACCGCATCCCGAACAAGCTCTCCGGTTTCATGGTCAACTTTTATCAATCGGATTGGATAAAGCCCAGTAATGTACGGGTAAATGGGGAAAAATCCACAAGATCCAATATGATTGTCAATATTCACTAAAAAATGCAGTATTGAAAGAATGTTCGCAACCAGAAGAACTTTTGAAAATTGTGGAACTAAGATCTGCCAAAAACTTTGTTCACTCCCTCACCTATATTAGAATTGCCCTCAGTAGAGCCAT